CACATGTTGGACTTAATGAGGCCTGTAGTTGCTTGTCATTTTTGCATATTTTGCATAATTTGTGCAGTTGGGTCCAATAGTCTGATGACCTCTAATAAAAATACTTCTGTTTAGCTTTTTAAGTGAAAAAAAAGTGAAAATGATGTTTCTTTGTTTCAATTTTTTCTTTAAAAGGATAAAATGTGTTTATTTTCAGGTTTAAATTAGACTTTGAATCTCAGATTTTCGATGTGGATTCAGACTTTAGGACCCCACTGTGTATTAGAGGTGTAATCAGACATGGAGGTAAATTCAGACTGCAGTAGAGGACTGAAACAACAAATCTTGAAATGTGGAATGGAGGATTTTTCTTCCTGCAATAATGTATAATGAAATAGACATCATCTGTGTCAAGAACAACAACATTTTTCCATGTTATAAATGAGCAGGCCTAATCAGAAAGATCAGGAAGGCCAATGCACAGCCGTGACCAAACTTTACCATTTTAGCTCACGCAGTCAAAGCAAGCTCTCCTCCTCAAGGCTGTTTTTTTTTATTTTTTAATATCACCCCAGTACTAAGACAATCAAGACCGGAAACCACATGAGAGAGACCCATTAACGTGCGATGGCTTATATTACGAAGCAGGCCAATATTAATAGAAAAGGTTGAAGCTGAAATATTTCTGATCTGCCCAGGTGGGAGGCTGTCACAACAAAAGTGAAGCCCATAGGGAAAAAAAAAAAACACATCCACATTTTCCAACTCTACAAAAACAAATCTTTCAGTAATACAGACATGGAGATAATTAGCATATACAGAAAAAAAATTGAATACTTCCTTCTCAGTCAGTTTAACAATGAAACATCCAGGCCAGGCTCAAGAGGTTCAATTAAATTATACCATCTGATTCTCATTTTATGAAAACAAAACTGATTATTTAATTTTTAAAAAAGCCTGATTAGAGAATTTCAGAATTATAGCTTAAATTGACCAGCAAATGGTAGTGTTACAAATCCTGTCCATGGACTTCCGTCCGATCGCCACCAGAGGTCACTCGTCCATCATATTGACTCTCTCACTACACAGACTGTTACACGTCACCACGGACTACGTTTCCCATTATCCATTGCACTGATTGCACACAGCTGTAACCAATCACACACACACTATATTATACTCACTCAGATCCTTCTTCTGGTAGCACATTACGGAGCCAGTTTTCTGCCCTAGTTTCTAGACCTTAGTTCCTAGTCATAGTCTTGTCTTGCCTGCTTTCCCGTGTTACCTGATTCTTGCCTGTTTATCTTGGATTAACCCTTTGCCTTTCTGTTTCGGACTGTGTTTGCACCTCGCTTGGACTATTGCTCGTGTTATTGGATTTCTTGTCAAGCCCTCTGGATAACGTTCGCTGTCGACAGTCTCACGCCTGTTTTGGATTACTCTTTTGTCTTGCCCTCAATATACCTGTTTGTCATTGTAAGAACGTTGCCTGTTTTATGACCAGGCCTTTAAATAAAAGCTTTGCAGATGGATCCGCACGTCTCACGTCTCATTCGCCCCGCAACAGATAAAATGAATAATTGGTTCAAAAATATTTTCTGACATTTTTCTGACTTCCTACTTTCTGCAGGGTAACTACTTAATAGTGAAATGTCAATTTGTCACATTAATTCACTGTTATTGACAATAATAATATAACACACACACACACACACACACACACTAAGGCAAAAAAAAAAATTGGTATTGTAATTATTTGAATGGCATACCATAATTATATTTTGTATTTTTTTACAAACTTAAAAATAAAATAAAATAAAATATACATTATATACAATTATAAAAACATTAAAAAATGTTTTAATAATTGTAATTATTTATATAAATAATATAAAATATATTTCTATTTAAATTAATTGGTCCATTTAATTTATGAATTTTGGTTTATTTTGTTTAACAGCAAATAAGTATTCAGTTCTATGGTATATTTAATGCTTCTTATAAGAATAAGTATATTAAAATGAAATGATATGATGTAATTTAATATTATACAATAAAATACATAAGTTAAATAAAGTTCATAATAATAATAAATAAAGGTCATAATATAAACAGATTATAAAAACCAGTAAGAAACAGTAAAAAACTAACAAAAAAAAAACAGCAGAATGCATGTAAAAGAATACAGGTTGTTCATAGGCCAACAAGCAAACTGAAGTCTCCCAAGATGCTCTATGCAACCTGGAGCCCATAAGCAGCTCTGTCCATCTTGATCATCATTTATGAGGCTAAAAACATGATTTACAGCCAGGAGGAGATCAGCACAGATACAGCGCCCATGACTATTGTTGTCCCAAGAAGTGACTCAGCTCATAAAAGTTTGTTTTCCATGCCATTCTGGGCGGCAAGACGAGAGAACCCCTAAGGACCAGTTAGTAATAAGCTATTAAGACAAATTGCATTTGCCTTTCAAATAGAGCCCAAAATAAGCAATTGACCAGAAAACAACCACATTAAGCTTTAAAAAGCAGCAGTAGGTGATCTGATCCTTTCACACACGTCGCTCCATGTGGGAAACATGAGCCGTCTCGCTCTTAGCTCACTGGCACGGTTTAATCTATAGACGATGGGGCCTCCTTTCACACTTTCTCTGTCTCTCTCTTTTCAGAAAGAGAGATAGGTCTTAAAAATGCAAGCCAAAGTAAAGAGCATGTTTCTGTGTGAATGAGAAAGCAGACGTAAGTGCGTGTGAGGCCCTATACGGTGTCCAGGCGGCATTGTTTACTCTGTGGTACGGTTTCTCAGGGTAGTCACAGCTCCTTGGGTGTCCCCACTGGGCGACGAAGAAGAAGCCTCACACGTCTGATGTTGCCACTCTGTCTGGAGCTCTCAGCCCATAAGATCCACACACGACTCCTAAAAGATTCCTAAAGAGATTTTTCCAACACTTTTCCTCTGTAATTACAGCTGCACTCTCTGTTCTGCTGCTGATAGAAAAATAACCACTTCATGATGGGTTATAGGGAGTTTGGGGTTGCTGTAGTGACAGAAACCTGTATACAGTTAAATTCCCATGAGATTTTGAGAGTCAGACTCTGAATGCAAGGAGTTGGGTTGTTCACATAGGTCTGAACGGGTTTTAATTGTTTTTCTATGGCTGCATTCCTAGATGACAAGAACACAGCCATCAGTCCAGTTGTAGAGTACTTTTTAAGTTTAACTCTTCACACAGTGAGCACAACAGCAGTCTATATGGGCTAAACCGCATACCATGTTTTAGTGAAATGAATGAAAATGAACATGAATTTTGGAATTTCTTAGAATTTGATTTCTCCCCCTATTGCTTTAATGTGTTTTCACTTGAGCTGGCATCCTTGTTTCTTTGTTTCAAATGTTTTTTAAATACTAAAATGTTTTTGGATTTAAATTAGACTTTGAATCCCAGATTTTCCCACCCCAAACCCCACTTCAATAATCAGATATGGAGGTAAATTCACACTGCAGATTAGAATCTGAAATGTGGAACAAAAGGATTTTTCTTCCTGCAATAATATATAATGAAATAAACATCATCTGTGTCAAGAACAACTGCATTTTTTCTATGTTATAAATGAGCCGTGCTAACAGGAAAGATCAGGAAGGCCAATGCACAGCCGTGACCAAACGTTACTGTTTTAGCATCTATACAAATGGGGACAATTTAGGAATATTATTGTACAGTAATGTAAACATGGATCATGTAACATACACTGCAGTGAATTCTAAACAGTTGAGAATTGCCCTTGTTTTTTAAATAACTTTTACAGAAGAAATACTGTATAATACTACCTATATTTTTAGTGTTTTCAGATCACTGTCTTATGAGTGACAAAGTGTGTTGGTTGGTTAGCAATATGTGATAGTGTAAGAAAGAATGAGTTGATTTAAGGCAAGTATGAAGTGGTAGTTTTAGTGCATTTTGGATGTGAAATGTATTGATATTCAAAGCTGAATTTGGTTAAGAGAACTGTTTGAATATTTTGAAAAAGTGACCTAAGTATTGAAAAATGTCTCCTAGTGATTGTAAAAATTGTAAATACCTGGGTTGTGCACCTGTCAGAACTGAATTGAGAATACCTTTTAAATTCCAATTCCAATTTGAAATCTCCAATTTGAATTTCAACTCAGGTTGCAAACAGGATACAGAATTGTAATACAAATTTAAATGTAAGAATACTTTTCTGGAAGAAATTAGCTAATTTTAATTAGAAAGTTGTTGGCTTATCAACAAAAAAGCCCTAGAGTTTAGACAGAACAATAGACAGAACAATAGTATGAAAGGTAGAATGACAGACAGATAGACTGAAAGATCAATATAACGACAGACAGACAGACAGACAGACAGAAACATAGGTAGATAGGTGGATGGATGGATGGATAGACAGAAAGAACGACATACAGACAGATGGATAGATGAACAGACACATAGACAGACTCGACCCTTGCGTTCTGTTCAGCTGTCTTTTAACTCGAGAACGTGTTTTGTGTGAACGGCTCCAGACTCCTGTTCTTGTGTTCTGTGTTGGAAGTCTGTTCTGGTCTCTGGTGGCTGTTGCTGACAGATTTGATGGAATGGGGGATTTCTACAACACCGGTGTCCTCATTGACCTCTCTCTCGAATGTAAACGAACACTTTTCCATCAACAACACGATACTCTGCGAGAAGGGCGCAAGTGTTGTGTGCTTTCTTACCAGGTACACAGCCAAGACTGTGTTCATCCAAACCCTGCACCTTTTTAATAGCTCTTTAATCAAACACAATGTACCTTTTTCACATGATAAGCTCTTATTCATGGTTTGGCTAGGTGAGCGTCCCCTCTAGCTTGACAAGTCACGCTGGGGCCGGTCCTCCCTGGAGAACGATGTAAGTGGTTTTAGCTGTCCCTCTGACAGCGTTCACAATGGAGATGATGCTGTAGATATTAATGACTTGGGGAAAGTGATATAATGAACAGTTTTGCTGGGTGAGGATCACCTACCGGCCCTGTCACCTGAGAGACCGTCTGCAGATCTTCTGCTGCTGTGAGGATTTCTGTCACCGCGGGTAATGGACCTGATCCAGAAGCAAAAAACAATAAAGCCTTTACCACACACACACTCACAATACGCTCCCACACTCGGCACCAAAGGGCCCCTCAAGAGACAATGGATAGATTAAATTTCCTCAGTAAGCGTGAGTGAATCTCGAACTAAAAGACTAATTTTTAACAGGCTGCCCCTTTCAGCAGATTCCATAACATGATACATAAATCTGCTCTTTCTGGATATGATATGTGATTTAAGGAGACAAGAGCAGGATGGGATGTCTATGGACCTACATGGGAGGTACTCTCGATGTGTGTCAAGAGGGGCCCACTAAAGTCCTTTACTGAGTTTCATTTTAAAAAGTAAATATAAATAAATAAATGAATAATATCAAAATAAATAAATGAACAAATAAATGAATGAATGAATGAATGAATAAAGTGAATTAAATTTTTAAAAAGTAT